TACTTCTGAAGTGTCCCAAACTAGGACGAAACAGCTGCCCAGTACTCCCAGTTGGTCTTCCAGTAGTTCTCTAACTCATGTCAGCTAATGATATTTCAATGTTGGTGTCGCAGGGATTTGTTTTGATTGGCTACATTATTTCATCATGAGCTGACATTGGTTAGAGAACCATTGAAAAACCTGGGAGTACTGGACAGTTGTTTAGCAATTTAGACATATGTATGCCAACACACATTATTCGTCTTTGTGTAAGAACTGTGTATATTACAACTGCAGTCATATTTATTGTTATTTATTGACAGTTCAAAACAAGCGTTTTAAAACACTTAAATCTGTGTGACTATGCACTAACTTTTACCACTGCAAAAAAGAGTTGCTTGACAGCTTACTATCCGAACTTTAGTACTATAACGGGACTAAAACACAGCTAACTAATGTCCTTCAAACTGAAAAGTCAAATAAAATCCATAGCATTATCCACAGCTTTATTGTTTTATTATACCAGATCAGGTTGCAGACTTTTATCAACACCTACCCCCTTCTCTGACTCTGTAATGAAGATCAAATAACTGGCCAGAGCGAACAAGTAACAAGAAACTATGGGAACACACTACTCGAGAATCTGTCATTTTTTTATTTTTTTTATTTTTGATTTACAGCTTGATTCCACACCGTATTTTTGGTACAAGTATGGAATTTTCAGCATGGATATCGGTAGCCCAAAATTCGCAGGCCGACCATAGATATCATGTGTGCGTCGGCGTGGGCTCGAACCCCGGACCATGTGCATGGTAGGCGAGGACCCTAACCACTGTGCCACCGACGCACAGTGCGAGAAAATGGAGGTGGACCGGGTATACATTGAGGAGACCGTCTAATGACATCATACGCCAGAAAGCGACGAGTGGGTCGTTAGTACGAGGGTGACATGGAGGAGATCGTGTGAGTCGGAGGTGAGAGATTATGGGCAATTGTGGGTCAAGCTAATTAAGACAGCAGAAAATAGAACACCAAGTAGAGATGTGTTGTTGAAACCAACACAATGTTCCACTCGGAATCCAAGGGAACAATAACAATAATAATTACCACATAATAATAAAAACATCACTCCAGCCAACATAACATATTGACGAAAAGACGCAACGAAAGCAGAAGTTAAAATCAACATCATCTGCAAGATAAAGTGCAGCAACTGTGTCGATTGCGTCTTTTCATCCACGAACATAAACCAACTGTCACAAATCGACGTCACATTCAATAAATCATAATCAATGCATGAAGGCAATCAGAGACATCAATTCGACCAAGAGAATGCGCAGAAGCAATGGATAAAGGAAGCATACAGAATACCAAGACGAATTAACGATCAACGTACGTAGATCAAACAATGAAAAGGAGTTAAAAAGGGACAAAATATAACAGCGAAATAATCAATATTTGTCAGTACACAAATGGACAAGAGAGTGAGAAAATCTCTGGAAAAACAACCAATCACATTCAGTGTCATCAGGAAAGATTACTGCTAAACTCGCATAAAGAATTCTGAAATCTCACTTAATATTGAGGTCTGTGCTAAAGATATTATCCAAGAAGACGATGAAAGCCACTCAATTAAACTGACTACCTCAAGCAATACAACTACACCAACATCTTCCACCTGAGTTACAAACCGGCTCCACCAAATCTCAGATGTTACAGGATTTCATCATGAGCTGACATCAGTTAGAGAACCATTGGAAAACCAGCAATGGACTACTGCACAGCTGTTTCGTCCTAGTTTGGGACTCCTCATCAGTACGCACCCACTCGTTGACTTGGAATATGCAGACGATATAGTCCTTCTAGGCGAAGACGCTGACGAAATGCAGAGTCTTCTGAACACATTGAGCTGTAATCTACGAATGTTTGGCATGCGATTCGCTTCGGCCGCCAAATGCAAGATGATGTTACAGGACTGGACTACGCCAACTCCTAGATTAGAAATAGGAAGTGAAGTGGTAGAGCACGTTGACCGCTTCACTTATTTGGGAAGTACCATCAGCCAGTGCCAACGGGTTGATCTCTGACGAAATCTCAGCACGGATACAGTGGGCTAGTTTCGCATATGCCAGTTTACGCCGCCTCTGGCGTAGACGTGACATCCAGCTATCGACCAAAGGACGTGTGTACTGCTCATCAGTCCGCTCCGTCCTCATTTATGGCTGTGGGACCTGGCCATTGAGAGTGGAAGACATGAACAGCCTGGCTAGCTCTCTTTGATCATAGGTGCCTGCGCTCTATTTCCCGTGTAAAGTGGCATAATAAGGTGAGCGACAGTGAAGTTAGGCGTAGAGTTCTAGGTAAACAGGGGAAATCAATCGACGAAGTCGTGAAGTTACAAAGACTGAGATGGTTAGGACATGTGTTACGTATGCCAAGCCATCGCCTCCGTCGACGAGCAATGTTAGCGGATATAGGGTCGGGCTGGAAAAAAGCTAGCGGCGGTCAAACAAAAACTTGGCATCAGTCAATGAAATCTACAACAGTTAGTCTAAGCCACGTAGGAAGGTGTAGACTTCCAGGCTGGGGTCCTCGGGACGGTAAAAATCTATGGTTGGAAACAATTGGTGACATGGCTCAAAATCGTTCTCAGTGGCGCAGATGCATCCACTCCTTGTGACTTATGATCTCCAATGAAACTGTTTTGTTCTTCGTTATTACTCTTCCTTTGTCTCACACCTCTGCTTACTGTTTCTATTATGCTTTTCTTGTACTTTCTTCTCTTGCTTCGCGTGCTACACGGAGTGTGGCGACTTGAACTGGCGAACATTTGTGCAAAGTTCTGTGTCGAAAACAGACAGACAGACGCACGCACCGGGATTCAAACCCAGGACCTTCTGCTTACAAGGCGCGCGCTCCTAGACCATTAAGCCACTGGGACAATATCCAATGGTCCATGAATTCTAACTTCTGCCAATTGACATCATAGCGCGACCCCTAGCCTAGGTTCGAACCCCGGTGGATGCGTACTGCTGAAGCGTCCCAAACTAGGAAGAAACAGTTGTCCAGTACTCCAGTGCTGGTTTTCTAACGGTTCTCTAACTAATGTCAGTTCATGATGAAATCCTGTAACCAATCAAATCCCTACAAACCAACACTTGAAAATCTCAGATGTTTTACTTTGTTTGAAACACATAAGTTAGAAATATGTACATCGGGTGGTTATGGCTTTTAGTTCTATGATCTGGACAAAAATTCACTCACAAGTCAACAGTAGGACTCAACAGAAGCTCACTAAAACTCTTATGTTCCATATTGAACCATTACCTATTGAAAATCCTTATTTGCTCTAGCTATTTATTATTCAATTGAAACAAGAGGTGAGTCTAAGCACTATTTATTGCTTCAGTTTAGTATATGCCAATTTGATTCTACTACCACTGGTGGCACATTAGCCAATTTATAGAGGAAACAAGTGTATTCGACTAGCCTCGCATTTTACACTTGCTTGCACAATTCCCATTTATGGAATCTCTAAAGTAAAGGATCTTCACGTTAAAATCCCTACGGTCCTCTATGACAGTCTCCTCTAGCTTCACCCCACCCCCCTCCCACAAGTATAATTCCATAGTAGGATGCTCAGCAAACAATACAAGTAGGCCGGGTTCGATTCCAGATCAACGGACGCACTCTTAAACCTCTTCTAGTTTACTCTACACGACAGTAAGCATGAAAAAGACGGAGGACTAAGAGAGAGAGAGAGGCTAACAACCCTATCCTGCAAAAACAGCACAACACCAGTGCTACTGTGACTTCAAACTGACTGATCTTAACGTAGAACTTTGCATAGGCGTGCACCACTTCGAGTTGCCATTCTCCCTTCATATAGCAAAAGGAGAGAGTGAAAAGAGATTCAAAACAGAGATATAAGGCAAAGAGAATAAGTAATGTCGAAGAACCATATATAGTTTTATTGGATATTATAAGTCACAAAGAGTGGTTGCATCTGCGCCATCATCGAGAACGATTTTGAGCCAGCCATTTCATTAATTGTCTCCAACCGCTGCCACTAGTTTTAACCATCTCGAGGACCCCAACCAGAAACTCTACACCTTCCTATGTGTCTGGCTTAAACTAACTGTTATGCACCTGATGGACTGATGGAGCCATGTTTTTGTTTGACCACCACCACGTGCTAGCTCTTTTCCAACCTAATCCATCCTATGTCAGCTAACACAAGCCCGTTGTCGAGGGAGGCGATTGATGGCTAGGCATACGTAACACGTGTCCTAACCATCTCTCTCAATCCATGTAACATCATTACACAATCTCGTCGACTGATTCCCCCTCCAACTTACCTAGCACTCACTGGAGGCCTAACCTCAATATTGCTCACCTTATTATACCACTTCACACGGAAAATAGAACGCAGATACCTATGATCAAAGACAGCCAGCTAACCAGGCTTTCCATGTCCTTCACTTTCAGTGGCCACGTCTTACTCACAGCCATAAAGGAGGACAGATCGAAGTGACTGCTAAGCAGTACACATACCCTATGGTCGACAGCTGGATATCACGTCTACTAAGCCAGATATGGTGTAATTTGGCATATGCCAAACGAACCTTTTGTATCTTTGTTGGGATTTCGCTAACCATCAAGTCACTGGGGGCTGATACAACTCCCCGAACAAGTGAAGTGGTCAACAAGCGCAGATACCACTTCATTCTCTATCTTTAGTCTAGGCGAATCTTCAAAACTTGAAGCTCTGAGTTCTATTCAGAATGCCAAGGAATGAAAAGACTTATGGGATAATCGAATAAGCTACTGGAAAGGACTGTGAGTACTACTTTTCTATATATGATATCATATCAGGCTTATAAATACATACACCAACCCGTTATATAACACCAAAATATCAATAAATTTACAATATCAAATATTAGTTTTGAAGAAAAGAACAAAATTAGGTCAGGTGACAAAAATAATAGTAATAATAATTATTATTATTAAAACCGATATCACGCTTTAGGGGAGATTATACTTGTTGTTAAACTTTCACCAGTCGGTGTTTTTGCTTCATCAATCAGGCTAGTAAATGTTGAACAATAACCAGAACTAGCATGTGTAGCTAAAAGTGTTGAGATACGCTGATCGAATCGACGTGCAGCTGGTAGCTGGTCTGGTTGAATCGGTGTGCCTGATTTATAGAATGGTGAACACACCAAATCGATATATGCTGTATGCAATCGTTGAAACATATCACGAATATTTACATCACGTATATGATGATTATGCTGATGACTTGGTAGGCTTGTTTGAGTTGACTGTGAGGGCGACAGATTCTGTGACTCAAAGATCATAATAAACTACGAGAGAAAACAAAAAATAATAATAATTGAAATTAAATACTTTACAAGAGTAAAACTCATAAAGATAGACTGATTAACAATATAATCGGATGAATAATGACTACTGTGAATACTTATTGATAATTAAGACTAAATAATTTATCAAAAAAGCACCAAAGTCAAATTTTGGTGTCGGTGATTTGGCGGTAGCATGCTCACCAACCACTAATTCCTTTCTGCAACCACGCTGGATGTTGTGTTCTTTGACCCTTTTTGACGGGATGTGCATCGAACGACCGATTTACCTGGCTCCATAGCAACACACGTACTGGTATCTACGCATAGAAGTGGTCAAATCTTGCCCTTTGGGCTTCTGCAGATCAGTGGAAGACTGGAGAAAGTTCTTCTTAAAGAAGTAGCAATTCTTCGCTTAAGAATATCACTGAGTAGGTTACCTTTGAAGTCGAGGTTCATATAAAGTATCTTTTTTCGGCACGGATGACGTCTCTTGCTTTTGGATTTTCTGTTTGATGCTTTTGTCTACGAACATTGATGGATAACCGTTTTTTGTATGAACATTTCTTTCAGGAATTGTAGTTCTTCTTCCAGAGTATCAGAGACGCAGATATGTGGGAAGCGAGTAGCAAGAGATCTAATTAGGTTTCTTTTTCGACTGATTAGTACCCAGCTGTAGAAGCTTGTCAGTTGGCCGTTCCATGTGGGTTTTCTATGGATGGACCTTCTTAAAGTTCCGTCACCTATTCTTGTAAGTTCTACATCAGAAAAAAAGGAATTTTACACCCATTTTCTAGTTCAAGAGTAAACTTTGTAGCTGATCTCGACCATCATCACAGATAATGAAGATGTCGTCCACATATCTAGCATACAATTGGAAAGTATCGATAGTTGATTTCCATGGGCCATTCTCGAGGTTTGGCCATGAATTTTTATTTATTTGTGTTCCCTTAAAACTCTTACGTAATTGCGTATTTTAGTTTGTTTCCTTGTTCACCCTGAGCACAACTCTTTTATCAAACTATTCATGTTATTGTGTAAGTCTTCTTTAATAATTGTTTGTGACAACTCATCACTTCTATTACTATCCTCCTATATCAACATCCCACTCCTCTGAATACTTTTTGTATTACGCAACTCGTTTGACAAATGTTATGTATGCATACATACAAAATGAGCACAAATATATTTGCGATTGTACAGCTAGGAAAATGAATTCACCAAAAAGATACTCTTCGTTGAACTACTGGTGGTCTCTCTATTAATGTTCGAATGGGGATTTTTTTTATGAAGTAAAATTATGTAAGAGTTCTAAAGAGTACAAGTGTAGTAAGAAGTCAGAAAAAACAAGCACACAAACATCAATTCAGTAGTATTCAACACGGTTGTTGCCATGATAGTAGAAGTGGTTCACTAACTTTCTTTCGTATACATAACCGTGATTTTCTCAAGTGAACGGCTAAGACTTCAAAGGGGATGAAAGCGTATCGCCTCTGTACATTACTTTGAAGGTGTTTATTGAGATGGAATAGTTAGTGTTGGTAAGGTGTTTGATTATCGCACTCTTACCTACTTCCATACAGGCTAATCAAAACTCACTCATGAAATTATTTATCTTATTACGTAACTACAATACACTGATTCAACTTCTCTTATGCATTGACTAACACTGACAACTATGTTTTTTTGACAACACATCACCACGAGCCTCTTACTATTCTTCACCACCCCCTCTAGTTAAAATTTGATAATTTATCTTGCTTTTTTCAAACATTCTGATGATGTACATAACAATTCTAACCAAATTTTTTTCTTATCTGGCAAAGCTAATGTGTACATACACAAAAATAATTATACATATAATGGAGATTGTACAGCTAGGTGAGTGAATTCGCCGAAAAGCGACTCTTCGCTGAACTACGTGTTTTGTTTTCATTGATATTCATGAATTAAAATCATTGTTTACAGGATTAACCATGAGCTGACATTGATTAGAGGATCTAACTAGCTCACTAGCGACTTGCTCTATTCAGGTAAGTAGTTACCTGGGGTTCTAGTGAGAAGTCGTGACCAGTAAGGTGCAGCAGGTCGGGTGTGAGGACAAATACTTGCCGAAGACATTGGCTAGAGGTGAATTAGCACAAGTTAGAATTCACGGGCCATTGGATAGGCGGGTCCCAGTGGCTTAATGGTCTACGAGCTAGCTCACCTTATAACCAGAAGGCCCTGGGTTCGAACCCCGGTGGGTGCGTACTTCTGAAGAGTCCCAAACTAGGACGAAACAGCTATCCAGTACTCCCAGGTTTTCCAATGGTTCTCTAACCAATGTCAGCTCATGATGAAATCCTGTAACCAATCAAATCCTTACAAACCAACACTTAATATCATTGCCACCAGTACGTATGAAAAAATGGAAGGAATAGCATTTTTAAAAAGGAAATACAAGAAACATCACAATAAACAAGACAGCAGGACTTGAATTCAGCTGCTTGCTTGCGTGCTTGTTTGTTTACAGAGGTTACTCATCACTAGAAAACATGACAAACAGAAATATATATATATATATTTTTTAGCGTTCAATATCTTTATACCTTAACTTTTGTATTGGTTACATAACCATAAATCCTATGATCTTCCATTGGGTATAAAAGACCAAGATACTGTTCCAGTTGATCAGGACTACCACTAGTTGTACGCTTGGATAACTTGTCCTCTATAACATCTAAAGCTGAATGTGCTTTGAAATGGTAAAACAGGGGATCAGGACATTCAGCGGTTCGAAGGTAGAGTAGCTGATTAGTATCTGAAATAACTACGACGCAGGCAGCCATTTTTAAACAGTATTAATCATAGCTTGGAATAAATCTGAAGGAAAAATAAAATATAAATAAACAAATCAATAATAATGACAATAATAATTCAAATTATTAAACCAACACTATGCTCATTCAAAAGAAGTTCGCACAACCATTATCCCTCCCATGTTGGCCTATTAAGACATAACCAACTGATGACTTCTACACAACCTCTTACTTATATTTTCAACCCTTCTCCTATCATTCCGTAATCTTACCACATTTTCATTAAAACGGATCTTATTTACTTCCCTTTACAATCTAGCATTGCGTAATTGGTTCATTTATTTTTCTTAGCCCTTATAGACTACTACTTTTACCTGAATACTTGTTTGTTTAATCATGCTGTTTTTTTTGTTAATCCTGTTATCACAGATCGCCTCAATTTTTCATCCTTATTATTTATAGAACCATTATTATTATTATTACTACTATTATGACTAATTGCACAATTTATATGCACAATCTTATTATCCTATAGACAAAACACCATGATTGGTTTATATTGAATTTTTTTATTTATTAAGTTATGTGTATTAGAGTTAAGCCTTATGAGATCTAATTGAAAGCACAATATTCTTTAATTAAATGTGTTGTTCTAAACTTTACTATGGGAATATTTAATACTTTGAAATAAATAACAAACAATAAATTCGTACATGTTAGGACGTCTGTTTTCCTGCGATAAATCTTATAAAAAGCAGTAATATAATTGCCTAGGAATAATACGTTCTTCGTTGTATTATGAGATGAACAGTCAGTTAATATGAACGTGATACCTTTTATTACTTAATAATACATAGCGGTCCGAATTACTACACAATCGCCATATTTCTTGACCTAAAGGCGGCATTCGATTCCATTGACCAAGGGGTACTATAGTGATGTTTGGCTGTGAAGGAAATGCCGACGAAATACATCAAACACTGACCGAGGTACTCTACTCAAACTCATTCAGTCAGCCAGATGAGGGACTTACGGAGAGTTGTTATTTGAAGTGGTGACAACTAATGGTGTCCAACAGGGATGCCCATTATCACTGTTTCCATTCAATTTCATCATAGATGTATGTGCTAATGGACTTAACTCTGACTTCAGCGACTCAGGCATTAAATTGTTACCAAAGAATAATCTCGTTGACTTAAAATAGGCAGATAATATAGTCCTTGTAGGTGATAACGCTGAAAAAATGCATAGTCATCTGAACACATTGAGCTGCAATCTGCAAATGTTTGGCATGCAATTCGCTCCCGCCAAATGTAAGACGAAGCTATAAGACTGCAATACATTGACTCCTAGCTTAGAAATAGGGAGTGAAGTGGTGTCTGAGCGTGTTGACCACTTCACTTATTTGGGCATTTGCATCAGCCCAAACGCCAGTGGGCTGATCGATGACGAAATCTCAGCACAGATTCAGAGGGCTAGTTTTGCATATGCCAGTTTACGCCATCTCTGGCATAGACGTGACATCCGGCTGTCGACCGAAGAACGTGTGTACTGCTCTGAGGTAGTTGGCTTTGTCCTTCTTTATGGCTGTGAGACATGGCCATTGAAAGTGAAAGGCAAGAATAGCCTGGCTAGCTGGCTGTTTTTGATCATAGGTGCCTGTTTTCTATCCTCCATGTATGCTAATTGGTATAATCACGTGAGCAATATTGAGGCTAGGCTTCGGTCGAGTGCTAGCTCTAGGTAAGGAGGGGAAATCAATCGATGAGATTGCGTAGTGAAGTTACATGGATTGAAAGAGATGGTTAGGACACGTGTTACGTATGCCTAGCCATCGCCTTCCGATGTTGTAATCAAAATAAAAAAATGTTAGCTGCCAACAAAGAGTCAGGTTGGAAAAGAGCCAGCGGTGGTCAAATTAAAATATGGTTTCATTAGTTAATGAAATCCAGAACAGTTAGTTTAAGTCACGTAGGAAGGTGTAGACTTCTTAGTTGGGGTCCTCGAGATGGTAAAAACTGATGGATCAAGACAATTGGTGATGTGGCTCAAAATCGTTGTTGATGACAGAGCAAATGCACGCACTCTTTGTGACATATAATATCCAATAAAACTATATTGTTCTTCCACATTACCATTCTTTTTGCCTCATATTTCTGTTTGTTATCTCTGTTTTGAATCTTTTACTCTCTTCCCTTGCTTTGTGCACTAAGTGAAGTGTGGCGACTCGAATTGCTGCACATTGTTGCAAAGTTCTATGTTGAAACCAGTCAGTTAGCATTACCACACAACCTACAACCCCATAGCAGATAGAAATTAGTAGAAATGGAGGTGACGAAATAAAAATGCTTCATTTAGAAGGCTTTGGGCAATCTGCATCTGCATCCCAACCTTAGTTCAAATCTATTACGCCAACTGACTTTATACGGAAGTGCAGCAGATCAAGTTGCCACACTCCATATAGCATACACAGTTAGGGAAGGAAGACTTTTGAAACAACGATAAGGAGCAGGAAGAAGAGTAACAGGATTCAGACCTACAGCCTTAAACACTATACACTGGTATCTCTTTCGGCAAGTTAAAGAATAGATGCCCCAGTAAAATGAACTAAAACCAGCCAATCATGTTAAGTAGATGTATTTATAACAAAAATGGATTATATAGTTTATGTGTCTCTAATATACTGCAAATAGATTTCTCAGTTTTCCACATGGATCCCCTATAACTATAGTTACAGGGTATAATAATTTTGATGAATGGTTTACTGTATGGTGAATATAACCCAATCATGAATATCCCTCATTTAGACTGTTGGCTGATTAGATTGGTTGACTCAAGGTCACTTAACTGTGGTATCTACTCTTTACTCGTGGCGTATACGCAAGATATATTTCTTTTTATACGGAATTTGAATAAAACATATTCTGCAGTACATGTATTGAGTCTCAGTTCCTATTCACAAACTAAATCTCGATTGAAGAACAACTGTTTTCTCTGTGATCATTGATGCTCTATGTATGAGCACAACTAAATATCTGATTAACAACGGAAACCTTACTAATAACCTGCGTAACGCAAATATTCAAATAAGGACATATACAATATCCAATATGAGCCTTCAGAAGCTAATATAAATCTCATTTGTAGCAAGGAGAGGTCCGTGAGTTTTAGTGAATTTTGAAACTTAGAGTCCCTCCAGCCAACCATGCTAGCTCTGGTAAATCTTGCTAATCGGGGGAAGAGGGTCTTCTTTGATGGGAACTGTGCGTTATTTTTTCTCATACCCAGTATTCCTCTGCCAAACTAGCATGAAACAAATTTGTTGATTTACATCGGGTCCGGCAACTCTGAAACATGGCGACCCAAAACGAAACTACCCAATAAACGGATGTAATGACCTTTCCTGACCAACTAGATGAGTTCTTAGTGAGTAGGCGGAAATATAAATACAGTGCACGAAATGCGTTTTAAAATCCACAAGAATGTAGTGTTTCGGTATTGCCAGGATAATATGCTTGTGGGAAGCTTGTAGATGTGTTGGAGTGACGTCTTAACAGAGGTGAATGTTCGCTGTTGTCAGATGTGTGCAGTTGTCCAGAATATTGTTCTGGAAAATCTCTCCGAGAAGATATATCGTTCCTTTTTTATGTTCACGGGCGCTGTAGAACAAAGAGTGAGTCACAGCAAAGTATGACACACAGTTATCTAGATGCAGTGATAGGTTCGGACTACCACAGAAGACTCCGGGAAGCAATTCTCAGGTTTTCTTAGGAAACACGAGAAAGATAATTTGTTTTGTCACCATTAAATAGTTTTTCGAGTTACGCGCATTTACTACAGGTCCATAGGGCTGCTTGATCAAAGCCATTACGTCCGTTTATCAGGTAGCTACATTTGGGTAATCACAGTGTAGCGGTAAATAATTCCCCAAAATTATTGACCACAGCAATCACTCATTGGATGCTGACCACCACTGTTTAAGTCGACTTGTTTAGCTGAAGGTTTCCGGTCAAGCATCCCCGCCATTTAGTCCCCCGTCGTGTAACGTGCACGATCACTAGCTAGCTAAGCGTTTGTCTGAAGGCTTGTTTTGGTCCCAAAATATATCTCTTAGTTTGGACGATCAAATATTGGCTTTTGCTTTGTCTTTGGTACGCGAGAATAAATTAATTAGAAGTTGCTGAACGAGATATCCGTCAATCCCTAAACTGGTGAGCCCAACCGCAAACTTCATCTACGATAAATCCACAGATAACCCCGGTGAGTTCGTTCCATTTTGTATTTGTTCTTGTTCCATATATTATTCGACATAACTTTCGTCATGAGTGATCTTAGTCCCAAGGTCATCCGTATCCGCTCAACTCCTAAAACCATTCAGCTCGTACCATACTGGCCATGCTGAAACGTGGTTTCTGCTAGCTGAAGCAGATTTTTGCGAGCATGGAATAACCGATCAACGTTCACAGTTACTCGCAGTTATTCACGCCCTACCACGGGAATTCAGCAAGTACGTAACATCACAGATGTTCAGTCCCGAGGTAAGTAACTCGTACGAGTTGCTCAAAACTTCCCTCCTCAGGGGAAACGTTCTCACGGACCGACAACGTCTAGATGAATTATTTCGTAACATCGAGTTAGAAGATCAGTCAGCCGTGAGCATGCTGACAAGAATGAAAGACGTCGTCGGCCAAAGTCAGTTCGACGAAGGACTGTTTAGAGAACTCTTCTTAAGCAAGCTGCCACAGTCTGTACAGACCGTACTTGTGACACTTCAGGGTACTGTAATAGAGGACTTGGCTATTACTGCAGATAGGATTGTAGAAATAACTAAACGGTATGTTCCCGAAATATGCTCGATGACTAAGCAGACTTCGAGTAAGGATCCTGCAATGATGGAGTTATGCAACTCCACCCAGCAGATGTTTAGGTCGAACATGCATTCTAACTCCTCCGAGCGTCGTCCTAAATCTCCTCAACGCAGGAATATCTGTGCTGGGTCTCCCATGTAGTGCTATTCAAATACAGTGTTT